AACATCATCATCAACAACAATACCAACAATATCAATATCCCGTCCAACAACAACAATTTCACAACAAAACCAATATTCATTCTCATCACCTTCATCAAATTTTCCACATCATCATCATCATCACAATAATCAATGTTGTTACGACACAGATTGCAAACAATACAAAAAAGAAAAACGTAATTCACAACAATCAAATAGTAGCAGTTCATACAAACAAAGTTTTGTCGGTTTCAAACTCTGGGTTAGATTAACTTGGGTTAAAGTTGGCAGAACATTTCGTTGATTTTATTTCTGTGCATGGACATTGATTTTATTTTTCACTTTTGATTTTTTTTTGTAAATAAAAACAATTTTTTAGAAAAAATTTCCAACTGGATTTGGCAATTTTTCATACAGTCAATTATAGATACTTAATATACTTAATACTTAATACTTAATACTTAATAATATAATATGATAATGACTAATGATAATGACTAATAATATAATATTATTATTATATATATCAAAAGTATTATTTTAGTAATTTAATATTTAATATACAATAATAATCAACATTTAATATAATATCTCAACAACAACATATATTTATTTTCGTTTTTATTTCATTTTTTTTTCATTCGGCATTTGGCATCTGGCATAATCTGGCAATCAATTAGAATGTAAATACAAATAATACATGACGTTTTTTTAATTTATTTTCTTCGTTTTTTTAAAATTTTGATTTTCGTTCAAAATTTTAAATAGAAATCACAAACACAAACACAAACAAATTTTCAAATTTTTTTTAGATTTTAGATTTTTTTTTTTTCCTTGCATTTATGGACTTTTTTTTTAAAAAAGCTGAGCTTTACATATATATATATATTTCACATATAACATATATAGACTTTTTCATTAATCATTTATCATATTCTTTTGTAAAGATTTTTATATATATATATAGATAGATAATAAATAATACAAAATTATCTTTAAATAATAAATTAAATGTTTTTTCTAAAAGCAATAAAAAATCATTTTGGAGTACCAAATATTTTGGTTTCCATTAGTTCTTCTATACATTCTATAGTTGCAGAAGCTAATAATTGTTTCATATTTTCAGTATTTCTTATAATTGACCAATTACCATGTACAAAATCTAAAGCTGATTTCTTTAATTGTAATTTACTAGACAAAATATCTGAATCCCAAGCAACTTTTAATACTTGATCCCAATTATCATAATTTATCAAATTTACCAATTGATCAGCTGCTAATTTACACAAATTTTCTAATCCCATTATCCCAGAATTGATGTAAATATCTTTTAGCAGATCAAATGATAAATTATCCTTTAATTTCAAAGAATATAAATAATAAACTATTGCATTAAACGTTTCATATTTTACATGCTTTATTGGCATCTTCAAACTACATCCACCACCACCACCACCACCACCACCACCACCAGAACAACCCCCATATTTTTCTG